AATAAATATGGGGTGCTGTGTGTACATTAATGAGGAAAAAAAATTAACTTAAATGATTTTAGCAAATGGCTGCAATATAACAAAGAGTGAAAAATTTAAGGGGGTCTGAATACTTTCCGTACCCACTGTATATATAAAATATATAATCTACCTGTTAGCCGGTCAGGCTAAGACACAAGCTGAACAACCACCAAAACCAGCTAAACACTAACTTGGCCAATCTGGAGACTCATATCTGCAGACCAGAAGATCACAGAGACGGAAAGAGGGCCGTTTTGAGCCAATAAACAACATCCTAGTCGCTCAGTGTGACGGCGACTTCTGCACAGACAACAGCACTTACTACACTCAAACGCTGCGTAGCATTTTCTCTCATCAGAGCATGTTTTCCTCCATCTCAGGTGAGGAATTCAAGCCTTACCCCGATGCTATCCTCCTGTCGGTACGGCCTCCAATTATGGCCCGTGTCACTGAACATGAGGAGGTAGCGTGTGAGCCAATCAGAGCTGCCGTATCGGCCCTGGGTGGCGATGGCTGTAATCTCCGTCCGCTGCTCCAGCTTGATTTCCAGCCACTGGTACTTATTAGAGTCCAGCGGAGACCAGCCTCCGGCACCTGCGGGACACAGCACACAAACGAAGGCTTCTTACTCTGCATTATAGGCCGAGCTGCATGGATTGCATCACGCGCTATTTATAACTGATCCAATGCTGATCCATTTGTTAGGAGAAAACAACTGCTGCCTTCTTAGGGAGCATCCAAACTGAAATTTAACCCTTATAAGTGGCCAACAAGAAACACTCTACATAGGCACTTATTGTGAAGTGCACAAACTCACAAATAATTTCAAAGCATTAGCATCACACACAAATATTGGTATATATATATATATATAATAAAATGAAAATAAATTATAAAATATATTTATTTAGGTATATATATATATATATATATATATAGTATATTATTTTATAAGTATATACATATAAATTTGATAACAATTATTCACATTAATTCATATCGACCATTAAATACATTCATAAAGGGTTTGTCACAATGCATTCTGGGACTGTTTTCAGAGTGAAGGATACATGTGATGTTGTCTTAAATTTCAGAAAGAAAGCAGCAAAGTTATGTAATTAAGTCTGTGTCCACGATGCCTTAACGTGCTGTCTAGGTAGGCAGCTCACTAGACTTTGGAACAGACTATTTTTTCCCCATTTCTCCTTCATGCTGGTGTGAAGTTACGCTCATTTATCTACACATCTTAATGAGGATAAAGCTGTTCTGCGGTAAAATCCTGTTAAAAACCTGCTTGTAGTCGAACAACCACGTCATCAGACATCACTCTGATCTTTTCATTAGGGAAATTCTCTTTGTAGCTTTCAATATCGCATCTAACCCTGTGCATTATGGTTTTAAAACAATAACTGACTCAAAAATGAATGTTTCGTGTCCTAAAGGAATTTCTTTCTTTCGTGGAAGACAAGTGAAGATGTTTAGCAACCTTTTCATTTGCATACAATCTCAACACAGGACAAAAAACACTATTATATATAGCCATAACAGGCTCTTCAGGTTATCACTTTGGTGTTTTTATGGAGCTTTTTGGTCATTTGTTGGAGCTTAACAGCATCTGTCCTCTTCACACATTTTCACTGTATCCATCTTTGCCCCATGATGCTTTGCATGAACAATGGAAGCAACTTCTGTCAAACTGTAAACAATCAGCCAAAGATTTTCTCTATGAATGCAAGCATGTTCATAAACTTGATACTATGAGGTGACATTATAAATACTGTATTGACCAGCTTTAGAAACCTTACAGTAAAGGCTGCTAATAGGGACTAGAAGTGAAAATGGGAGACGATAACATTTTAAAGCATCCGTGTGAAAACAAACCTGCAAAGAGACGTGAGGATTTAAAGAGAAAAACCAGAGATTCTTAGTGCATTCAGTGAATTATTCTTGAGATAGAGTGTACATTAAGACCACAAATGCGCAGATATGTTGTCTTTTTCATATTTTTACAGTGGAATACAAAGTGGATCTTTAAGTGGAACTTCCTAAAACTGGAAGTGCCTTCCATAATTTAAAACGCAGTAAAGTCTGTTAGGAAACAGGTGGATAGAAAAGTCAACATGAACAGCCTTCAAAATATCTCCTTTTTAGGGCCCCATGAAATACTTTTTATTTTTTCCAAATGTTTGTTTATTTATTCCCTAATTCTGTTTTTTTTTCTGTTTAAATTGTTTTGGATTCCTTTTTTTTTTTCTATTTACATTTTTCTGGACTCCGTTTTAATAGTCAATTAAAATTTTAGTAATCAAAAAGCATGTGTAATTATAAAAAAAAATGCAGAAAATTATTATGCAAAAAAAAAATTATAATAAAAATATAGGGCCCTATGAAATACATTTTATTTTCCGCTCAAATCTGTTTTATTTTTACCAAATTTTCTGTTTTCCATTTAAATTTTTGTGGATTCCATTTTAATAATCAAAGAGCATGTGTAATTTATTTTATTCATTAAAAACAACTATTTATTTATGCATTACATTAATAGTGCTCTATGAAATGTTTTATTTTTTCACAAATTCTGTGTTGTGCATTTAAATTTTTCTGGTAATCAAATGAAGGCATAAAACATTCATTTAACTTATCTTTTGATCCAATGAAGTGCTGCACAACAGAGGTTTACCGTTAAAATTAAAACATGGATGAAACATTGTATGATTATTCCTTAAAAATAATGGCCATGTTTTAATAATAATAATAATAATAATTATTATTATTATTAATACATTGAGACATTCTACTGTAAAATAGTGATATATTTCTGTCACAGTTTCTTCAAGTTTAACCAGACTTTTATTTTGACGGGTTACCGTAAAGAATAGCGCCATTCATTCAAACAGAGACACGCAGAACATGCAGGATTCATATTTAAACAGTCTTTTTGCGGTTTAATATTCACAGACACTAGTCCATATCGCCGTTTGATGTGTACTGACAAAATCTGACAAATTCCTTGACATTCCGTTTTATACAGTAAATTGATTCCGTCTGTGTTTTCCGTATCGCGGAAATCATGCGCCCATACTTTTGTGCTCCAGAGAACTCATGCAGATTTAAAACAACAAGTAAATAATAACAGAATTTCAATATCAAACAGGCAGTTACTGTGTAAGCATTAATATTCTGAGTGCATCACAACAGAGTCCATTTACCTACAGCCGACCATAAAGACTGACACCAATAAGCCTGAAAATCCTGTTAAATCCCTCTTAAGTAGCTGCATTCGCTGGCCACCCGTAGAGCCGAGTCCCACGCTGCAGATGTGGATCCGTACACCTCAGCGGCGCAGGCTAAATCAGACCAGACGGCATCATAAACGCTACCTGTTCCTCGTAAATCATGATAAAACCACTGAACGGTGGGGCGCCGAGGTGCGCCAGGCGAGAGCAACATCTGCAGGAGCCGCGGCGCATTGGCAGCACGGGAAGTGAAAGTGCTGAGCCAGCCAGATGGATAGAGCCACCAGACAGGTGGAGCCCGGCGAACCCAAATCCAGTCGCCCGGCGAGTCTCGCTCATAATCAGGACAGCCAAACTCAAGATGGGGATATTCTAGAGCCCGACGGAACCGACATACACATCAGAAACGCCAAAGCTAATAGCCAGATTATGATTTTAATGCTTACAGCATTTAATGCTTGAGATATTACTGAGAACTCATTTGTAAACTCTAGTTAGAGCTGTTGTTCAGTCCTGTTGAATCATGCAAAACAAACCTGAGGTTTAATGCTTATATCACAGCCAGTTAGCCTCAGAGCAGAATAACTAGCCTATTTTAGTATTTAGGGCAGCGGCAGTTAAATATGTGCGTCAGAAGACATTGACTGACAACTAAACACACACACACACACACACACACAACATCGCATAACAGAGTGTATCCAATTGGTCAAACACCACAAGCGTTTTTCACTGTTGTAAATTCCACGCAAGTAAATTCTCAAGTTTTTTCCCGGTTTCCATTAAAACTGAATTACCTATCCTAACGACCTCTTATACGGCCCTCATTAAAGAGTAATAGCCTCATTCAGAATAAGCTCCATCTCTGCTCGGCTGTCACAATGAATAAAGCAAAAGTCAAACGTTCATTGCAGATTTTCTGACCGGAGAGGACAAAACGGTTCCTCCAAACGAACCAAGTGATTAAGGTTAATCAGGGGTCGTTGATGAGGGCAGACGAGCGGCGCTCTGACACTCATTTAAATCACCGTTTCATCATATTATAACACCTGCAGCAACACCAGAAACCATCAGCGCCATTTAATCTGTAAGAAACAGACAAACTAATGACTGGAATGCTTTATTAACATCAAACCATGAAGTTGGAAAATTATCATTTTATTCCACAATCACCATTTTTAATTTAATTTTTTTATATATACACACATACACATACACATGTATGTATGTATAAAATATTTAAATATAAAATACAGTTTGAAAATGTGGGGGGTCAGTAACATTAATAATACTAATATTCAGTAATTACTTAATATTAATTATTGTATTCAGCAAGGATGCATTAAATAGATGTGACAGTAAACAAAAGATTTGTGTTTCAAATAAATGCTGTTCTTTTGAACTTTCTATTCATCAAAGAATAAAATAAAACTTTTCTGTTTTCAACATTGATAATAAATCAGAAATGTTTCTTGAGCAGCAAATCAGCATATTAGAATGATTTCTGAAGGATCATGTGACACTGAAGATTGGAGATTCAGCTTTGATCACAGGAATAAATTACATCTTAACAGATATTCACACAGAAAACTGCTATTTTAAATTGTAATAATATTTCACAACTTTACTGAATTTTTAATCAAATACATCCAGTGAAAATAAGAGAATTCTTTCAAAAACGTAAAAAAAATCCTATCAACCCATAAACATTTGAACTGTAGTGTATATTAATAGTTTTGAAATATTTCTTAAATGATCAAAAGTAGCAATCAAAAACATACACTTAGGAATAAATTACATCTTAACAGATATTCACATAGAAAACTGCTATTTTAAATTGTAATAATATTTCACAACTTTACTGTTTTACTGTATTTTGGATCAAATAAATGCAGCCTTAGTGAGCAGAAGAGACTTCTTTCAAAGACATTAAAAAATCCCAAACTTTTGAACTGTATTGTGTGTATAATTTCTGTAAATATTTGATCTGTATGTTGCATCCACTCAATGAAAATGGAAGAAACGTATTACTGACTAACATGATTAAAGATAGTTGAAAATCACCCCGAAACATGTTCAGCAAAGCAAACTCCAAAGAAGAGCAGACGTCTGTGTAATGAACTGGCACGAATCTCGTCTATTATTTACCACGTTTCCACCTGCAAGAGCCGAGGGACAAAAGCTAGTTTAGAGCGGGACGGGATCAGCAGAAATGTCTGATGAAAGTAAAAGCGACTTTTATATCGTTGACTGTAGAGCATTTGATGAAGCTAATGCAATACAAATAGATCTGGAAAGCTGCCACCTGCCTGCTTTTACCTTGACTCGAGCAAAAAAAAAACAAAGGTAACAAGAGGA